GGACAAAGAAAATCAAAAACTGAATTTTATGAAAGACATTCTAAAATATCTTTTCTCAAGGTTATCACTTTCTGGCTGGTCCTGACGCAGCTGGTGAACAAACTAAAGAAGATAAAGTAGTCACTGTGTGAGCGGTTAAAGAAGACAAAATGGCAGAGTCCAAAGGTTCCATACATGATGGACATTTGAAAGAACGCATCAACCAATCATCTATGCAAGCCACATGAAAGCTATGCATACAAGGCAGATACCTGACAGAGTCACCATTTTCAAAGTCTACCATACATATAGCACATCTGAAAAGGTATTGGTGAAACTAAAATCTTCACGTTAACTGATTAAGCCTCACATCGTAAGACTCTAAAATTAAACGTTATTTCAAGTAACAGCAATTATTTTCATATTTATAAAAAACAAAATTTTTTAGAGTAAACAAAACTCAATTATTCACTTTCAAAATAAACTCAAAATGGGGTCCCCGCAGACTGCAGTCTGTCAAAGCGCAAAAAAGAGCCGATACCTTGACTAAGAATATGTAAGAGAGGCATTTTTCAATTACAACATTACATTGTGATTTGAAGCCTGCGACTCATTAGACACTTCACACCATTCAATTGTAAACAAATATTAATATTATAAAAATGTGATCGCATGAGAAAAATAAGCCCTCTAGTCCTTTGCATAAATCATGTCCAGCTTGTGAGAGCTGAAAGCAATAATTCCTTCTATCTATCACAATCCTCCTTTCCACAGTACTACCGGTACCGATTTTTCGCTTTAGTAAACTAAAAATTCCATGTAGAGTCGCAAAAATAATAAATTAATAATGTAAACTAAACCAAAAAACTTATTTTCCTCAGCACCTCATAAATGTAGTAAAAAACTTCGAAGAATTTTGTTTTTAGGATCCTGTAGAAGTGGAAATTATACTGTTTGGCAGTGTGTTCAGTTTCTTCAGCTTCTCATTTATTTAAAGACACCAGGTGTTCAATTTTTTACTTGTATTCTAATCCCTCCCTTGTACCTTTGAAAGATTCATTCGCACTTTGAAAACGTGAAGTTTTCGTGACTCACCTTAGAAACTTCTGTAAATTAACAAGTGCTTTTTCACTTTACAAGTACCTATTTAATTTTATTTACAAAATATTTCCCCAATTTTTTTTTTTTTTTTTTTTTT